GTTAGTTGACATTTCTCAGAATGTAAACCTGCAACTTCTTTGTACCTTTTTAATGGCAGATTGATAGTCACTTAATGGAAGTATAAGAATGCCCCCTCTCCGACCAGTAAATTAACACCTAGCTTCTCAGCACATTTTTTCAGTCTTAAGGAGTACAGCCCTTCAGTGAAGTAGTCCAAAGCTTTAAACACCATATTTAGGTATTATCAAATCATGTACTAGAAATAAATAAAATCAATATATCACACTATCTGTAGTTCCATAGTCTGTTTTTAGTATTGTTTTCATGACTTGAACAGATTGAAGCTATCTGCCAATGAAAGAGTAACCAGATGTTTTATAAAAGGCAACCCCGAAACTTTGAGAAAAGCAAGTATGTAAATTTTATTAAAGAAACCAGGTCAAAATTACAATAGTTTGGGTCAAATTTAACGCAACAGTTCTCTAATATATTCCTTTTACAAATATGTTCACATATAATAGAGTAATTAATAGCAGCTAACAGTTTTAAATAGTTACACAAGAAACTTTTTAAATAGTTATATGAGAAGAGTTTTAAATGCCATGCAAATAAAACAACTCCATACATTCATTTCAACCCATAATTATTACCAGGCCCAATTACAGTTAAGATAAATACATCAAAACATAACAAAGGTCATCTTGGCAAATAAGAATCACCAATATATTAGTTAAAAACATATTAAATTGAGTTTTGTGTGGTATCAGTTTTAAAGCATTAGTAAATATCAAAATAAACACCTCTGTTAGAACGTAGCACTGGCATACTTTGGAATACCATGCCAATTCTAAACAGTATCAGCAAGACCCAAACAAGTATAAAGAAAAGGTACTTATGCTTAAACACGCACATGTTTGTAATGTAACCAAAGAGGATTTAGAAAAAGCAATCCAGGCATAAAAGCTAGTGTTCATGGATATTTCTTTTCTTTTCTTTTTCCCCAAAAATCTTTACTTTTTTACTTTCACCAGAACACATTACTTTATCTTCTACTAGGAAAAAAAAAATCCATAGTCAACCATGTGGGCGACATGATTGGCTGTTAGGAAAATGAGTTTTGTCTAGAAATCCATCAAATAAGATCCATACTGCTTTGTACATCTCCAGTAGATGCAGCTTACTGTGGAATAATGCTACCCTTTGCTTCAACCTGGAATAATCTTCATTTTCATCCTTAATTGCAGTTTCCAACATGTCTCAGTGCACAGCTACAAGTTGAGAAGTGCTTTGATGCTTAATCACTTCAACACCACTTGTTAAAGCTTGCTTTTAAGTGCATAATCAAGGGGGGGAATATCTGCACCCATTCACAATGGCTTGTCAATAACAGTAACACCTAGAGAGAGAGATGCAAGAGTTCAATTCTTTGTATTAGAACATTCCTAAACAACATTTTAGAATGTTTGTTCACAAAATGATTCATATGCATGTAATACACATAATGAGTACCACCCTGTGGAAGATGGGATACTGAAACTGAAGAAGTATAAGTTGCCCAAGTTCACTCCACACAGACTTGTGTGGAGAATCTGGTGGTTTTGTCAAAATGATGAAATATGCATTGTGATATGACAATATACATTTTGTCATTTGCCCCCTCCTTGCCTGCCCGCAACACCCATGACTCCGCAACTATTAACTTATTTTTCAGTATATGCCACAATTGGTATGACTTCAATTTAAAAAGTAAAAGTTCCTGCCCATTCTGCTGATGTCATAGCCATACCTTCTTGCAGTCCCCAGATGCTCAAAATAGTGATGATGATGATGATAAAGCAGCTCCTGAGTGAAAAAAAAATACCCACTTTTGCTCTAGAAGGGAGCGGTATCTTCTTTCAAATTTCTGTTTCATTACCTGCATAGCTCCTTCCTGTACTCATACATGATGACACAACTATCCATTTATCTGTTGTTGGGTTATAATATTCCACTGTCGCCAAGTTACAGGAGCCGTCATCTCCTCCAATTACATATAAAAGTCCATTCACAGCAGAAACCCCTAATATGAAAAAGAAAGAGAATGTTATCACGTGATTGCTCCCTAACCAGGCAATATTTGCTGGTTTGGTTTTGGAAGAAAAATTGGAGGAAAAAATAACAACAATAATAATTTATTAAATTTATATGCCACCTGACTCCAAGGCAGTGTGCAATTTTTAAAAACATGTAAAAACAAAGAATAATACAAAAGCACCAAAACAGCACAAGACAAAAGAACAATGATCGCACAGAAAACAAACCCGGAGGGGAACAAAAAAGAAGAAAGGGGTTTCAGTTGTCCTCGCCAAATAATACCCTCTGCTGTGCTGATGACACTACTTTGATAGCCAAAAGTGCAAAGGATCTGCAAGCTTTAGTAATTAAAATCAAGGAGCAAGTGAAAAAATGGGACTAAAATTAACAAAATTAAATGACAACAGGTTCAACAACCAGCCTTAGAATTAACGATCAAGAAACTGAAGTGGTAGAGAGCTTCTGCCTTTTAGGATCAACCATCAAAGCAAAGGAACAAGCAGTCAAGAAACACACCACAGACTAGCACTTGAAAGAGCAGTCATGAAAGCCTTGGAAAAGATATTAATATGCCATCATGTAGATAACAATATTGCAGGCAATGGTATCCCCGTGACCCTCAATGGAAGCAAAAGTTGGACTTTGAAGAAGGAAGCTGGGAGAGTATTGACACTTTTGAACTTTGGTTTTGGAGAAGACTCCTAAGAATGCTTTGGACAGCCAACAAACCAAACCAATGGAGCACTGAAAAAATCAACCCAGAGTTTGCACAAGAGACACTAATGACCAGGCTCAAGTTATCCTATTTCAGACACATTATGCAAAGATCTAGCTCTCTGGAGAAGGCTCTAATACTGGGAAAGGCAGAAGGAAAAAGAAGAGGAAGACTACCAGCAAGGTGGATGGACTTAGTTGCAGTGGTGATGAGTGTATCATTGGAAGATTTGAAAGACCAGGTTAGGGAGAGATCATCATGAGGAAAATCTATGTGGTTGCTAAGAATCAATACCAACTTGATGGCACATAATCAATCAGTACTTCTAGGAGATATATGGCTTTAATTTTGTGAAGAATGTATAACATTTCTTTTTCTACTTCATCAATTATTTCTAATTTATCCTTTAATTTTCATGCAATATCTGGAACGTACGTTAGGACTTGTTCAGATTCGACAGTCAATCGAGCATTCCAAGCATTCCAAACTTGCAAAATACTGAAATCTTTCTTCTGATCTCCTTACTGTCCTATTCTTTAAACAAAAAAGTGATTTTGTTTCTTTTACCCCCACACACGCACACACTAACAGGAAAAAATAGTTACCACACATGCTTCAAAAATCCCTTTCCCAAAACTTCTTTTTAGAATTCCTTTCTAAAAGAGTTCCTGAGTGGGTTTGTCAGTACATTGCATATACCTCCTAGTTGGTGGGATGTGGATATCAATACAGTCCTTGCTTAACAACTGTTTGTTTAGTGACTGTTCAAAGTTACAATGGCACTACAAAAGTTACTTATAACCAGTGCCTGATTTTACAACTGTCACAGTGTCACCGCAGTCACATGATCGCAATCTGGGCACTTGGCAACCAGCTCGCACTTACGACAGTTGCAGCGTCCCGGGGTTACATCATCGCTGTTTGTGATGTTCCCTGCCGGCTTCCAGCAAGCAGAATCAATGGGGAAACCGCGTGATTCACTTAAAAACCGCTGCAAAAAAGGTCGTAAAATCAGGTCCAGTCACGTGATGTTTCACTTAATGACCACATTGCTTAGTGACCTAATTTCCAGTCCCAATTATGGCCATTAAGTGAGGACTACTTGTATATTGACTTGTGAGTCTCTAGATTAGACATCCTATCTTACATAAAACAGCATGATCATACTTGGGGTAAAATTTGGTTTTGGTTGCATTTATGGCTAAACTGACCAGAACTATCCTTATTATTCGCAAGGAATGCTCACAAGGATATGACTATTTTATTACTAAAAAGGAGTTGTAGATTTCTTCTCATCTCTTCAGTTTCCCAACGTGCTCTCATCATATCCTACCAGAATAAATCTTACTGCTCTTTAGTCTCAATACTAAAATAATCATAAAACTAAGCAAGCATAATTTGAAGCCATGAAGTCTAAGTCTCAGTTTAAAAACTGTCTTATTATTATTACAATAATTATTATTATTATTATTATTATTATTATTATTATTATTATTATTATTATTCCTGTATGGGGCCAACTCCTGCCTGACTCACAGGTCATAACAAACTTCCATAACTCTATTTTCCTCAACTAAAATTCTTTAAATTGCTATATTTTTTGCTCATTTTTCAAGAAATCAATTGAACACTTCAACTTTTATGTCATTACAAATTCAAAATTGGAAGAGATTCTTAGGTGTTGTAACTGGGTTTAATTTATTTATATGCAATTATGCCCCTGTTTTAAGATCTCATTGAGTAAGACTGATATTCAGCCATTATCACAGGACTGTGTATTTTGCAAGCACCTTTGAAACTACAAAAGAAATATTAGAGACAATTCAACTGATGAAAAACTGAAAAGCCCCCAGCCTAGATGGCTGTCCTGTTGAATTGTATAAATCTTGTATAGACCTGTTGGCCCCAATATTATTAGAAGTCTATAATGAATAATTTAACTCCAGTAAATTGTCTGTATCTTTTTATGAGGCTTATATAATATTGATCTTAAAGACCCTAAATTCTGTACAAATTTTAAACTCATTTCATTAATATCAACATATTAACTGCTTTATTGGCTAAACATCTGCAGAGGGTATTACCACATGTAATTTATCCATCTCAGTGTTATAGTAAAAATAGACAATCATTTAATGATCTACATTTATTAATAGATACTTTGGATATCACTCAGTATAGATTGGATCCTGCTGTATTAATATATTTTGATGCTGAAAAAGCTTTTGATAGGATTCAGATTAATTTTTTAAAGCAAGTACTGTGTAGGTATAGATTCCCACCTTCTTTTATTAAATGGATTGTTATTTACTATTTGCAACCAAAGTAAGAGTAATAACAAATCAATTATTTCTGGACCAACTGAATTATAGTGTGGCACCCACCTTCTCGGTTGTTTTTCCAATTAATTCTCCAGCTATTAGCTATAACGTTAGACAATTTTATGACAACACTGGTATTACATCGGTGGATTCTGAGTATTGTTATATGGTGATAATGTTTTACCAATATTGAATAGCTATTCTACTTCACTGCCTAACTAATATGGCTGGTTTAACACTGGTAAATATTTAGGTTATCAGACTGATTGGAAAAAAAGTCTAATTCACTTCCTTTGGGACTTGATATATCAATATATCAATGTAAGATGATTGGCTTTGTAATGTGTACAACATATGTTAAATATGTAGGATTATAAAGACCAAAAATATCTCAAAATATGTGGAAATTAATATGCTAAATGCTACAGATGATAGATATTAATAGAGGGGTTGAAATTTCAATAGGTTGATGGGGTAAGATCAATGTATTAAAATTAATACTACTCCTGGCCTCAATTTATATTTTAACAGGCATTCTCATGTTAATTTCAAGTAGACATTTTATTTAGATCAATAAAATATTGAAGAAATTTATATGGGAAGATAGGCTATTAAGAATTTCATTGGCTAAACTGAGATTATCTTTCAATAAAGAATGCTTTAATTTACCAGATTATATCAAAGTTTATATTATCTATATTTATGTGAAATGAGAATTTATCTGAACCTTTATAAGCTTCATTGGAATGTTATTTCTGTTAAGATCTTGACAATACTTGGAACATATAGCAAAAAGGGCCCTTCATTTCCTACTTTGAGAGCAGCTAGATATATTTGGGCCCTACTGTGACACAGATTGGATTTTGATGCTGAGTTTCATGAATATTTGACGTTATAGAAGAATTCTACCTAAAAAATAGGTGATAAGATGTTCTATTGGAAAAAATAGGCAGAGACTGGAATAATTACTTTAAATTAATAACATTGCAATAATTATTTTAAAAAATTTCAACAACCTCAGATAGAATTTTCTTGGACCAGACAGCTGCCTCAAAAAAGCCTGAGATGCTATTATTTTTTATGGAATCTGTTTTTGAAATCAAAAACTTTATATCTATATCAGAAGTTTTAAAATATCTTTAAAGTTAAAATCATTAACATTTCTGACATATGAAATAAATTGGAATATCTAATAATGGAACATCAATAGATGCAAGTAAAAAATATTAGATCTATTTCTTTGGACTTGTGGTTGATAAATTCATCACAAGATTTTATTTCACAAGATTTTATTCCACAAGATTTTATCACATACCTCAAATAATGCATCAGAAAGGATAAACTAGATTTTCTTTGTTGCAGATATAAGAACATTTTCCATATCATTTGGTTTCATTCATTGTTCATTCTTTGGGGAATAATATTTTAAAAACAATGTGTTAATTATGTGAATACTATTTTGAATTGTGTTCCAAAATTGTGGAATTTGGGAACAGCTAAGATAATTATACTGAACTGGAAAAATACCACTACTTTGGACATCAAGGACAGTGTAAAAATGTGTAGTAGCATCAATTTTTAAAAAGGCATTTTTTCTACTAATCAAAACATGACACAGTAAGTTTCTGTTTGGCATAATTACATTATATTTTAAAGAATAGATAAATCTTTATGTGTAATTAGATATATTGTTATTAAATATGTATGTGATATATGTAGGTGATTGATATCAATTTAACAGGTTAATTTTTAGTGAGAGTTTGTCTTTTTATTTTTATTCTGTTTCTTTTGGTAATATAACTGAACAATCAGATTATCTGTTGGGCAAGTGTATATTACCTTTTTTTAATCTGCTTTGTTCATTGCTTTTTATGTATTTTTTGTAAAAAAAAATGCAATTAAAAATACCCCATGAATATATTTAAGAAGTGGCTTGAGTTCATGTTTGTAAGCATATCTGGGAGCCATTTTAGTGGAAAATGGTTAAGCAAACAGATATACATTGTTTACTTGAACAGTGTGCATATATAGATGGGCCACCCATCTCATAGACATGTCTCTGGGCAGCTAACAATTAAAACAAAATAAAAACAGAGTAGAAAATGTGACCAATTTAAATATGACCAATTCAGTCCTGGAAGAACTATATCATACTTTTCTTTTGTCTGTCTTAATGTAATGTCACATCCAGGACACAGTGAAATTGAATGTTTCATGGGAATGTTTTTGCTAATGCGGATGCGCTAATCTTGAAACAGTAGAAATCTTAGCATTCTGGTTTTAAAATTGCTAGGAACTGCTAGAATATTGTCTGAGTGTGTATCCATTAAGAAAATGAACCAATACTTTTATGCCTTTAAAATACTTTTATCCCATAAAAGCCTACTCTTAAAGTATTGCCTTGCCTTCCTTTTGATTGTATTGACAGCTTTTTAAAACTGCATGAAAACTAGTGCTTTTTCAAATAGGCTATTACAGATTCTTTATGATTTCCAGTGTTCACCTGCATTTCTCCTACACATGTTCATATCTGCAACCTGTTTCCATATATTTATGGTGGGATCATAAACTTCAACACTTTTTCGAACTAAAGGGCCATCATGTCCTCCCACTGCATACAGTAAGTTATTTAAAACCCCAACACCTGCAAAGAGAAGAAAATAAAAGCTTCAGAAATCAGAGAAAAAAGGGCATTCTTTTCTCAAATGGCATCACATTTAACAAAATTTAATAAGGGAGAGAACAGAATTGCATCAACAAGATTTTTCTTTATCCCACCTTTACTATTTTTATAAATAACTCAAGGTGGCGAACATATCTAAGACTCCTTCCTCCTCCTATTTTCCCCACAGCAACAACCCTGTGAGGTGAGCTGGGCTGAGAGAGAGTGACTGGCCCAAAGTCACCCAGCTGGGTTTCATGCTTAAGATGGGAGTAGATTCACAGTCTCCTGGTTTTAGATGCTTAAAAGTTACTGAGATCAAATGAGACAAAGTAATAAATATATTTACAGCATGGGAACCTCATTTGTGCTCCCCCCTAAAAAATCCAAAAATTGCTCCAACATTGTGATTTTAATATGAAATAAAGGGAGAATTATTAAATATATAGATCAGAAGGAGTCTGGTAATACCTTCTCAGTCTAAAAAAAAATTATTAAACGGCATAAGCTTTCGTGAGCTACAGCTCACTTCATCACATGCGTGGAGTTGCTAGATTGAAGTAGGATTTCAACTGGGATGACACCCAGCTTATCCCTTTTAACAGAAAAATGCACTGAACATTAAGCCTTTGGAACGCAAGGGGCTAGGACCCTCATCCCAGAGCTGATGTTACAGAGTCACAAACTACATTCAGAAAAGGGGTGTGTCTGTGTGCTTCCTCATTTAGTGGTTAAGGCAACGTAACACTGATGACCAATGCAGACATCTACGGAGTCACATCTTGGTTGGAGGCAGAAGGCCATTAAAAAGCGTCAAGGGAGATAAACAGGGAAGAGCCCCTGGGCAGGGATTTTTGCAAAGTGTGAAGCATGGCAGAGGTGTTTGGACTAGAAAGCTGGATGTGAGGATTGTGCATGCACTTTTCTAGAGGGTCAGGCTGGGGCTCACACTCTAAGCCGGAAGAAAGAAACCTTTGAAGGAGGTTTCTTTCTCTGGTGTTCCTGGGTGGAATTATAACAATCAGCAGGGAAGAATGGCTGTCCCTCAACTGTTATCTAGACTTTCAGGCAGAAGATGCAGAGGAGAGTGAAGAAAGCACAAAATCAGCCATCAGAGAGAAGAGCTGTGAGCAGATAATTAAAAAAGGACACTTGGCAGAATGAGCTGTAACTGTAGATTGGCTGTAATGCCTTAGCCTTCCCCAAAGAAACTGTGTCTGAACAACTGGGCTAGAAGAAAAAAAGACATTTTTGTGTTAAAAAAACAGTCATTGCTAGACATGGAGCTGACCACTTCAAAACAAGGAGCAAAATGGATTCCTGCATCAGATGCCTTAAACAAGTTAACGCAGTTTACTTTAAAAAGAAGCACACCAGGGCACATCAATCTGTCTCAATTTATTTATTCAGCTTATTTATTGGTGATTTGCAATTCTTTTTTTTCTGTTGCTGGCATCAGGCATCTGGGCTTTCATTTGTTTGACAGCTTCCCCCAGCTTGGAGTGCTTCAGCGATAGGCTGAATTGACTGGGTGTGATGGGAGTTGTAGTCTCAACCGATTGAGAGGGGATGATTACATCATAACAGTACTCTAGGCATGAGTATATACAGAGTACGTACAGTGTCTGCGTGTGTATTGATGTGGCTTGGACTGGTGGGCAAAGTGGGAAAGCAAATGGTGCAGATGAAATTTCGTAGTCTCAGAAGACGCTGCCAGATCTCTGGCAGTTTTGATCTCTGACTACCAGAGACTTAACACAGCTCTCCTCCTACAATAAATGCCTAGAGTTGAAAAGATGAATTGTAATTTCCTAATTTAAAATAAAATTTATTTTAAAATAGTCCAATTTAGTTCTTAGCCCGGGCTTACTCATAGCCAGGCAAATCAAAAGTCCATTTTCTTCAGCTGATAAATGCTGAATTGCAGAGTACTTTGGCTACTTAAATTGTATTTAACTCATCTATAATATGTAAATGTGCAGTGTGGCTTGCTAAAGGCCATTTAATGAGTTCCATGAGAGAACTTACTAAAAAGCTGGTTTGGTGCAGTGGTTAAGGCACCAGACTAGAAACCTGGAGACTGTGAGTTTTAGTCCCACCTTAGGCACAAAGCCAGCTGGGTGACCTTGGGCCAGTCACCCTTTCTCAGCCCTAGAAAAAAGGCAATGGCAAACTACTTACAAAAAAACCTTGCCAAAAAAACTGTAGTGACTTGTCCAGGCGGTTGCCAGGAGTCAAAACTGAATTGAAGGCACCAAAAAAAAAAGAGAGAGAGAGAGAGAGAGGGGGAGAGAGAAATAAATACATTTTCTACTAAAAATGTGATTTAAGTTCTGATTGCTCACCTGCTCCACTACGTCTAGTGCTCATCTCTGCGACATAGGTCCATTCATTTGAATGATAGTTATAGCATTCCACTGTGCTAAGGCACTGACGCGATGCACCATCATAGCCACCAACTGCATACAGCAAACCTGGAAATAGGTTTAGGAGATAGGTGTGCATATGTGCACACAAGATTTATGTATACACACACATACATATACTATATAGTGATCATATATCCTCTCCCTAGATAGCACATTTAAAATAGAAACATTTGTATGGGAAGCTTATTTACATGGTTGATTTTAATAAAAAGGTAGATTTCTCTTTAAAAATACCTAAGCAAGGGAGCAATGAAAGTAGCACACCACAGGAATAGTGTAAAAACTATTTACAGTTCTAATCAGCATTCATAATGCTGTAGACAGTTTTAATTTTCATACAGGTTTTAGAGTTTTCATCATCTAGATTAAAGTGATGTACCATCCTTCCATACAATAGGAGCAGTGGAACCTAGTAAAAGGTTTAAGGTACAGAAACCAAGTTATTTATTTATATATTTAGTTCAGGTGGTTTTATACTGCTTCAACTGAAGGAATGTGTGGCTTACAAAAGCTATATAAGCAATAATACCAACAAAATAAATATCCATATAATATTTATTTACTCCTTCATTCATTCATTCATTCATTCATTCATTCATTCATTCATTCATTCATTCATTCATTCATTCATTCATTCATTCATTCATTCATTCATTCATTCATTCATTCATTCATTCATTCATTCATTCATTCATTCATTCATTCATTCATTCATTCATTCATTCATTCATTTTCATTCATTCAGTTTATATAGCCACCCATCTCACGTTCGTGATCCTGGATGGCTTACAATTAAAATGTAAACCAAAATCTAAAACAACCATACAAACAATTGTTGTTCTTTAGTCGTTAAGTCGTGTCCGACTCTTCGTGACCCCATGAACCGTATTGCGCCAGGCCTT